TGGGTGTGCTGCAATGCTCCAGTGGGATTCCTTCCCAGGTAATCCTCAGAGCTCGGGATGCTTGTCTGTTCTTAAGATGAAAGGCACACGTCTGTGTTTTAGATGGATTAGGGATCAGCTGGTTTTCCCTGTAATAGGCGGTAAGGGCACCTAGAGCTTCGGAGAGCTTCTGTTCAACCATCTCAAAGCTCCCTGCTTGAGCCACGTATGGGGCTATGCCCAAGAGGATAAAAATGGAGAGGCTGTCCTCTCCTTGTCTGAACTGTACAAACTATCACTCATCCATGATAGCAAGCTCCCACCATCCTACAACAACGGGAGATGGCACCGAGGTTATAACCCAGACCTCTTATTTGTGAGCGACAGCATTGTACAGCAATGCACTAAATCAGTGGGATCACCAATCCCAAACAGAAACGACAGTAAACGGCGGATAGTTAGGTCCACAGGGAACAAATAATGATGCACAGAGTGTCAGGAGCAAGCCACATGCAGCCACTTGCCTTACCTGCTGCCAAACTGTTGCAAGGACACTTCTGCTCATCTGAGCAATTGGCCCAACAGCAAAGCAACTATGTGAAGGAATATACTATATTGTTTTGTTTTTTTCTCAGCATGGTGGAAGAAAATGTGTACGTTTTCGATGTTGTAGAGAAGGGCTAATTACAGGTGACATTCATATATTAAGATAGCACAATGGCCCTTTTTTGGATAGGAAAAGCTGCTTCTAGAAACAGCCCTGAGAATCTAAGTTCTTGTGGGGTTTTTCGGGCTATATGGCCATGTTCTAGAGGCATTTCTCCTGACATTTCGCCTGCATCTATGGCAAGCATCCTCAGAGGTGAGGAATGCTTCACTCTAAGCCTGCTCTTTCAGTGCACTGAATGTTGGAAGCCACGCACGACAGTGTGTATAGAAGTGGGAAGAGTTATAATATATACTTCCTGCACCTCAGTCCCTCCTCTCAGGGTGTTTTTTCCTGTACAAAAATGGACTGTTGGGCTTCTGTTTACATGCATCTGTGTGCTGAGTGCCGTTTGGCCCATCTCCCTCTTGCCAGCGCATCTGCTCGGGAGCAGATCTTGGATTAATGTATTGTCAAAGGCTTTCATGGCTGGAATCACTGGGTTGTTGTTCCAGCAGACCTCACTACCTCTGAGGATGCTTGCCATAGATGCCTCTAGACCAGTATTTCTCAACCTGGGGGTCGGGCAGGGTCGTGAAGAGGTGTCAGAGGGGTCAGCAAAGATCATCAGAAAACACTACATTTTGCTGGTTGGGGGGCGAAATACTGTTTGCTTACCATTTAAAATTACCTAGGGCTGCCTCTGTATGCAAGTATTGTATTCCAAAATCCAAAATACGAGCCCCCGGTGGCGCAGTGGCTTAAACCCCTATGCCGCCAGGACTGAAGACTGAAAGGTCGCAGGTTTGAATCTGGGGAGAGTGCGGATGAACTCCCTCTCTCAGCTCCAGCTCCTCATGACATGAGAGAAGCCTCCCAAAAGGATGGTAAAAACATCAAAACATCCTGGCGTCCCCTGGACAACGTCCTTGCAGACGGCCAATTCTCTCACACCAGAAGCGACTTGCAGTTTCTCAAGTCGCTCCTGACATGACAAAAAAAAAAAACAAAACCCAAAATACGAAACAATTCTGGTCCAAGCATTTTGGATAAGGGATCCTCAACCCATACAACAAAGCACAGAATTACATCATTATTTTAATAGTTCTTCCTAAAGAAATGTGCTGTGGACAGCCATTTCTTTCCTTGTTCTTTGCAGAGAGAATTTTTTTACTTCTCATTTTCCCTAGGAATGAGTGTTGTGGTGCATCTAAAGAGGAGTTACATTTTAGTTGAACAAGTTACTAAAAGCTGGGCCTGCGAGGCTCTGGGCTCCAATGAATCTGCCTATACTGCTAAAGAAAAATATTTGTTCCTTCTCCAGTAGATACTGCAGTTGTCATAAGAGGAGGAAGCTTTGTGCGGCATAACAACACAAAGGGAGAGGGCAAGAGGGGCTCCGTGTCAAAGATCCTTTCACACAGAGGGAACTGTTCTGAGAATCATCAGGCAACAAAAAGAGAAGAGTCTCTTTTGCTCTGCGGGTCTCAGCTGCCATGTGTTTGAAGCAGCTGACTTGGAAATTGTGGAAAGCAACCCCCGCCGTCACCATTGAAATGACTATATTTCGTGAGTACTGTTTTTAAGGCCTCAACGGCAGTAAGGCATTAGCCAGGGTTATGCTTCTCATCTGCACAGGAAGACTGTCAAGGCATTGCTGTATCACCCAGCCAGCCTTTTCCAGCATTCTTCACACAGGAAGGAGGTGAAGAAAAAGATCTTGCTCTTCCAGCAGCACAAATCGAAAAGGGAAAATGCTAGTGTAACACATTTCAAGGTGACAAGCTGGAATGTGTCCAGAGGAGGGTGACTAAAATGATCAAGGGTCTGGAGAACAAGCCCTATGAGGAGCGGCTTAAAGGGCTGGGCATGTTTAGCCTGAAGAAGGATCATCAAGTTTACAGACGACACCAAATTGGGAGGGATAGCCAATACACCAGAGGACAGGAGCAGAATTCAAAACGATATTGACAGATTAGAGAGATGGGCCAAAACTAACAAAATGAAGTTCAACAGGGACAAATGCAAGATACTCCACTTAGGCAGAAAAAACAAAATGCAAAGATACAGAATAGGGGACAGTGCCTGGCTCGAGAGCAGTACGAGTGAAAAGGATCTTGGAGTCCTCGTGGACAACAAGTTAAACATGAGCCAACAATGTGATGTGGTGGCAAAAAAAAGCCAACGATTTTGGCCTGCATCAATAGGAGGATAGTGTCTAGATCTAGGGCAGTAGTTCTCAACCTTGGGTCCCCAGATGTTTTTGCCCTACAACTCCCAGAAATCCCAGCTATTTTACCAACTGTTAGGATTTCTGGGAGCTGTAGGCCAAAAACATCTGGGGACCCCAGGTTGAGAACCACTGATCTAGGGAAATAATGCTATCCCTCTATTCTGCTTTGGTTAGACCACACCTGGAATATTGTGTCCAATTCTGGGCACCACAATTCAAGAGAGATATTGACAAGCTGGAATGTGTCCAGAGGAGGGCGACTAAAATGATCAAGGGTCTGGAGAACAAGTCCTATGAGGAGCGGCTTAAGGAGCTGGGCATGTTTAGCCTGAAGAAGAGAAGGCTGAGAGGAGATATGATAGCCATGTATAAATATGTGAGAGGAAGCCACAGGGAGGAGGGAGCAAGCTTGTTTTCTGCTTCCTTGGAGACTAGGACGCGGAACAATGGCTTCAAACTACAAGAGGGGAGATTCCATCTGAACATGAGGAAGAACTTCCTGACTGTGAGAGCCGTTCAGCAGTGGAACTCTCTGCCGGAGTGTGGTGGAGGCTCCTTCTTTGGAAGCTTTTAAACAGAGGCTGGATGGCCATCTGTCAGGGGTGATTTGAATGCAATATTCCTGCTTCTTGGCAGGGGGTTGGACTGGATGGCCCATGAGGTCTCTTCCAACTCTTTGATTCTATGATTCTAAGAGAAGGCTGAAAGGAGACATGATAGCCATCTATATAAATAAAAATGTAATGTTCGTTTGTGGGATTAACAGAACTCAAAAACCACTGAATGAATTGACACCAAATTTGGACACAAGACACCTAACAACCCAATGTATGTCCTTCACTCAAAAAAATTGATGTTGTCATGTGGGAGTTGTCGTTGCTGGGATTTATAGTTCACCTACAATCAAAGAGCATTCTGAACCCCACCAACGATGGAATTGAACAGTTCTCCCATGACCAACAGAAAACACTAGAAGGGTTTGGTGGGCATTGGCCTTGAGGTTGGGAGTTGTAGTTCACCTACATCCAGAGATCACTGTGGACTCAAACAATGATGGATCTGGACCAAACTCTACACCAGGGGTCCTCACACTAAGGCCTGAGGGCTGGATACGGCCCTCCAAGGTCATTCTCCCGGCCCTTGCTTAAAGGCAGCTTAAGTCTGAAACAACTTAAAAGCACACAATGACAACAACAACAACAACAATAACAACAACAATCCTATCTCATTTGCCAAAAGCAGGCCCACATTTCCCATTGAAATACTAATATGTTTATATTTGTTAACATGGTTCTTCATTTTAATTATTGTATTGTTTTAAAGTGTTTTTGCACTACAAATAAGATACGTGCAGTGTGCACAGGAATTCATTCATGCTTTTTTCCAATTATAATCCGGCTCTCCAACAATTGAGGGACTGTGATCTGGCCCCAGGGGCGGCTAACCCATTATGCAAAGTAAGCATTTGCAGTATAGTTAATTTTGCCCAGGGGCGCTCTTGAGGTGCTCTTGGGGAAAAATAGACCTTGACATATGTGAGTTGTTACTGGGATGTATAGTTCACCTACAATCAAAGAGCATTCTGAACTCCACCAATGATGGAATTGAACCAAATATGGCACACAGAACTCCCACAACGAACAGAAAATATATATCAGTGATTGGTGGGGGGAGGGGGGGGAGAGGCGCCAAAATACTCTTTGCTTACCGTTGAAAATTACCTAGGGCTGCCTCTGCCTGGCCCTCTCTTTAAAAAGTTTGAGGACCCCTGATCGACACGAATACTCATATGCCCAAATTTGAACACTGGGGGAGTTTGGTGAAAATAGAAACTTGACATTTGGGAGTTGTAGTTGCTGGGATTTATAGTTCACCTACAATCAAAGAGCATTCTGAATGCCACCAACGATAGAATTGGGCCAAACCTCCCACACAGAACCCCCATGTGGGCCACAGCAACACGTGGCAGGGGACGGCTAGTGTATAAATATGTGAGAGGAAGTCATAGGGAAGAGGGAATGAATTTGTTTTCATTCTGGAGACTAGGATGCGGAGCAATGGCTTCAAACTACAAGAAAGGAGATTCCATCTGGACATTAGGAAGAAATTCCTGACTGTGAGAGCCGTTCACCAGTGGAACTCTCTGCCCTGGAGTGTGGTGGAGGCTTCTTCTTTGGAAGCTTTTAAACAGAGGCTGGATGGCCATCTGTCAGAGGTGATTTGAATGCAATATTCCTGCTTCTTGGTAGGGGGTTGGACTGGATGGCCCATGAGGTCTCTTCCAACTCTTTGATTCTGTGATTCTATGAAGGGTTTGGTGGGCAGTGTTCTTTGGTTTTGGAGTTGTAGTTCACCTACATCCAAAGATGACTGTGGACTCAAACAATGATGGATCTGGACCAAACTCTACAAGAATACTCAATATGCCCAAATGTGAACACTGGTGAAGTTTAGTGGAAATAGAACTTGACATTTGGGAGTTGTAGTTGCTGGGATTTATAGTTCACCTACAATCACAGAGCATTCTGAACACCACCAATGATAGAATTGGGCCAAACCTCCCACACTGAACCCCCATGTGGGCCACAGCAATGTGTGGCAGGGGACGGCTGATAGTTCACCTACAATCACAGAGCATTCTGAACACCACCAATGATAGAATTGGGCCAAACCTCCCACACTGAACCCGCAAGTGGGCCACAGCAACACGTGGCAGGGGACGGCTGATAGTTCACCTACGATCAAAGAGCATTCTGAACCCCACCAAGCTTCAAGTTGAGCCTTGGCTTCTCCTAAAACCGGGACCTGCCTACCTTTTTAGAGGAGTGTTTTTGAAGGCTCCAATGCTTGGCCTGAGAGCAGCCATTTTAACTTTCCAGGAGCAGCTGGACTTTGTCATAGGAAATACGGGCCCAGATCCCACTGCTGACCACAATGCTATTGCTCCCAGATAAGATCACCAGAGGCTCACCCAACAGAATGAAGCCCCACTGAAACCCTCTGGCCCAGGGTCCCCTTCGGTGGTGAAAGCATGAGCTATGAGCCATCGAAACTGCAGCTCCAGACCTTGTCTCACCAAGTTGTTCAGGGTTAGCCAAGACAACATGAGTCTATAATAAGGGAAGATAAGAGTACTGTGCGACACTCAAAGGTTGTTGAAGTGCTCTGAATGATTAGGAAAGTGTGCTACATAAATAATACTTATTCGATATCATCTTTTCAAGCAAATTAATGAAAACACCAATTGCTTCCTTTCTTCCTTGGAAGTACGTGAAGGTAGATACAAGCCATCGGGGTTGGAAATTGTTCCTCCGTCCTCAATGGCTGCACCCTGAGAGCCATTCAGCGATGGCACTCACCCTGGCTCTTCATCCCTGGGCAAGGAAACCATAACACGACAATAGGAACAAAAATAAGGTCTGCTCACTGGGTTCAAAGAGCCAGGAACAGAGAGAATACTGATAAGGACTCAAGCTGAAGGCTGCCTGAGTTTGGCAAAGAAAAGAAGTGGCACTGCAGAGCGTCCTTCTATCCTATGGGGAGGGCTTACAGGCAGACATTGATTTGCTTGGAGAGTTCTCGCTCTAGGTCCAAAATGAGGGCATCAAAATCCTTCAGATTGAGCCGAGGGCTGAAGGGGGCTTCTGGCTCCTCCACCAAGGCAAAGTCGCCCACAAAGACGGTCCGGCTGTGGTGTGCCAGGCCCTCCCGCAGTGCCGCCTCCTCCTTCCTCTCCTCCTCATTGTCACTCTCGCTCCCGGCCACCTCATCGTAGTCAGTGTCACCAGCTCCCAGCTTGGGTCCTGCCAAGAACTGCTGGCCGCATATGCTCCAGTCCCCGGCGTAGCGGTTGCTAGGAGGGCTTTCCAGGCCTCGAGGGCGGCTCCGGGCCACAACAGTGGTCTGCAGCAGTGGCAGAGTCATGGGGGGACGGCACTGGCGTTGGGGCAAGGGGGGCTCTTCCTCACTCTTCCTGCGGGGAGCTGGAAAAAAAGGAAAACAAGTTAAGCAGGTGGACTGAGCAAAGCATAGAAAAATTGTGATGGGGGTATTGGGGTAACGATACAAAAGGTTTGCTAGGGTAGACCCTCTTTCACTCAGACTCAGCCCCCCCCCCCCTCCGAATCAAACTCAGCCCTCCCTCCCGAATCAAAATCCTGGTTACGGGCCTGGGCTGGACAGCCCTTTGTCAGGAGGGCTTTGATTATGTTTTCTTGCCCTGGTGAAGGGAGTTGCACTGGATGGCCTTAAGGCAGCACTTCTAACATGGGAAGTCAAGACCCCGAGGGGAGGTCGCCAGGGGGGTGTCAGAAGGGTCACCAAAAAACACAGTATTTTCTTTTGGTCATGGAAGTTCTGTGTGGGATGTTTGGCCCAATTCCATCCTTGCTGGGGTTCAGAGTGCTCCTTGATTGTAAGTGAACTATAAATCCCAGTAACCACAACTCCCAAATGTCAAAGTCTATTTTCCCCAAACTCCATCTGTGTTTATATTTGGGCATATTGAGTATTTGTACCAAGTTTGTTGCAGATCCATCATTATTTGAGTCCACAGCACTCTCTAGATCAGTGTTTCTCAACCTGGGGGTCGGGACCCCTGAGGGGGTCGCAAGAGGGTGTCAGAGGGGTCACTGAAGAGCATCAGAAAACACAGTATTTTCTGTTGGTCATGGGGAGTTCTGTGTGGGAAGTTTGGCCCAATTGTACCTTTGGTGGGGTTCAGAATGCTCTTTGATTGTAGTTGAATTAGAAATCCCAGCAACTACAACTCCCAAATGTCAAGGTCTATTTTCCCCAAACTCCACCAGTGTTCACATTTGGGCATATTGAGGATCCATGCCAAGTTTGGTCGAGATCCATCATTGTTTGAGTCCACAATGCTCTCTAGATGTAGGTGAACTACAACTCCAAAACTCAAGGTCAATGTCCACCAAACCCTTCCAGTATTTTCTGTTGGACGCGGGTGTTCTGTGTGCCAAGTTTGGCTCAATTCCATCATTAGTGGAGTTCAGAATTCTTTTTGATTGTAGGTGAACTATAAATCCCAGCAACTACATCACCTAAATGACAAAATCAACCCTCCCCCAACCCCACCAGCATTCAAATGTTGGTGTATCAGATATTTGTGCCAAATTTGGTCCAGTGAATGAAAATACAGCCTGTATATCAGATATTTACATTACGATTCAAAACAGGAGCAAAATTACAGTTATGAAGTAGCAACTAAAATAATGTTGTGGTTGGGGGTCACCATGACATGAGGAACTGTATTAAAGGGTCGCGGCATCAGGAAGGTTGAGAAGCACTGCTCTAGATATAGGTGAACTACAACTCCAAAACTCAAGGTCAAGGCCTACCAAACCCTTTTAAGTGTTTTCTGTTGGTCAGGGGAGTCCTGTGTGCCAAGTTTGGTTCAATTGCATCGTTGGTAGAGTTCAGAATGCTCTTTGATTATAGGTGGACTATAAATCCCAGCAACTACACCTCCCAAATGACAAAATCATAATTCTTGAGTGATGGTCACTCCTTGGGTTATGAGACGTTTTGTTGCCCAATTTGGTGTGATTTCGTTCATTGGTTCTTTTGTTTTTAAGGTACTCATTATGATAAACAAAAATGTAATGTTCGTTTGTGGGATTAACATAACCCAAAAATGTCTGGGCGAATTGACACCAAATTTGGACACAATACTACTATCAGGCCAACAAGTGACCATCACTCACAAAAACACTGAAAAACACAGCGGAAGAGGCTTAAAAGTCAAAAAATAGAAAATACATTGTAATGCATGTGCATAACCACATATATTCACATACACACACATATATACACATATACACACACACAAAACACATATACACAGACTGGGCCACAGCAACACATGGCAGGGGATGGCTAGTAATCAAATAAAAACATTGAGTGCATTCTGAGCTGTGGAAGAAAGCCTCCTCTGGGAAGCCATTGCTTGTTAGGGTAACAGGCCACTCTCACTCTCTTGCCTCCCACCACCCTGTCCTCTGGGGTCACTCACTTGGCTTGAGAAAAATGTATGATATCACAAAGGACTACCACCTCACCCGTCTCATAGGAAACCTGCTACAAAACAGGAGCTTTTTTGTTGAGTTCAGGGCCAGAGAAGCAGATGGCGGAAACAGAAGAACGGCCTGCCTCAGGAGAGCGTGCTTGCTCCATCCATGTTCAACATTTACACAAATGACCAGCCACTGCCAGAAGGGACAGAGAGTTTCATCTATGCTGATGATCGTGCCATTACCGCTCAAGCAGGGAGCTTTGAGATGGTAGAACAGAAGCTCTCCGAAGCTCTAGGTGCTCTTACTGCCTATTTACAGGGAAAACCAACTGATCCCTAATCCATCTAAAACACAGACATGTGCCTTTCACGTTAAGAACAGACAAGCATCCCGAGCTCTGAGGATTACCTGGGAAGGAATCCCACTGGAGCATTGCAGCGCACCCAAATACCTGGGAGTCACTCTGGACCATGCTCTGACCTACAAGAAGCACTGCCTGAACATCAAGCAAAAAGTGGGTGCTAGAAACAATATCATACGAAAGCTGACTGGCACAACCTGGGGATCACAACCAGACACAGTGAAGACAACTGCCCTTGCACTATACTACTCTGCTGCTGAGTATGCATGCCCAGTGTGGCTAAACAGTGGATGTGGCTCTTAACGAAACATGCCACATTATCACGGGGTGTTTGTGCCCTACACCACTGGAAAAATTACATTGCTTAGCCGTATTGCACCACCTGACATCCGCCGGGAAGTAGCAGCCAATAGTGAAAGGACCAAGGCAGTGACATCTCCAGCTCATCCCTTGTTTGGGTATCAGCCAGCACGTCAACGACTTAAATCAAGAAATAGTTTTCTTAGATCTACAGAGACACTCGCTGGAAAACCTCAGCAAGCGAGAGTTCAAAAGTGGCAGGCTCAAACCCAGCACCTCAATCCATGGGTGATACCAGATGAGAGACTCCCTGGGCACACAGAAGACTGGGCGACTTGGAAGGCGCTGAACAGACTGCGCTCTGGCACCACGAGATGCAGAGCCAATCTTAAGAAATGGGGCCACAAAGTGAAATCCACGACATGCGAGTGCGGAGAAGAACAAACTACTGACCACCTGCTGCAATGCATCCTGAGCCCTGCCACATGCACAATGGAGGACCTTCTTGCAGCAACCACCAGAGGCACTCCAAGTGGCCAGATACTGGTCAAAGGACATTTAATCAACTACCAAGTCTGCAAAAATTTTGGGTTTTTTTAATCTGTTTGTTTGTTTTGTTCTGTTAGAAATGTAATACAATGGTCTGGTTGCTGATGACACGATAAATAATACTCACTTGGCCAAGCCTGAAGTAGGTAATGCAACACTTCAATATGGTTCTTGAAGTCCATGGTGCTGGTGATGGTGCGATGCTGCAGGCGGGGGCTGCGGGCCCCTGCCCCTCCTGCACCTTGGCTCAGCAATACGGGCCCGAAGCACACAGCGAGATTCTGAGCGTTCATGCGGTTTGAGGCATGGAAAGAGGCAACCAAGCTGAGGTGGTCCAGCAGCATGGTCAGGGTAGCCTAAAAAAATGGAAGCAAGCAACTTGTCTCAGCCCAACCTTTGCCAAATAGGTCTGACTTTGGCCCCAGGTTGGGCCTCATCTCAGAAGAATAGCAGCAAGATCAAGAAAAAATCCTGGTGGTTTGAAGGAACAAAGGCACCAGAAAATTTGGACCATCACTTTCAACCAGAAAACTGGAAGGACCCAATCCAGTTTGTCATTATTACAAATGATACAATCACCTAAATTTCGGTGCCTGGGGATGAATGGGCATGCAAGCAGCAGCAAGAACAGAGTGTATTGCTGTTCTTGTCTGCCCATTCTCCATGGGGGAAGCGAGTGCCATGTTGGAAGGGAATGGCTGCAGTTAAAAGTTTGAGGTTAGAAGGAAAGGGAAGACAGGTACCTTGGTCTGGCTTGATAGTTTTATTCTACCCTATGGGGCTAGGGCTGCCAAACAGGATACAGGATGTGATGACTGTAACTTTATCCTAAACAGATTGAGCAGCAGAACAATGTTTCTCAATCTGTTCGGGACAAAGGCCCCTTCCACGCAGCTGGCTAAAATCTACACTGAACTGGATTATATAGCAGTGCGGACTCAAGATATTGTGGATTATCTGCCTTGATTTTTTTTTCTTGTCAGGAGCGACTTGAGAAACTGCAAGTCGCTTCTGGTGTGAGAGAATTGGCCGTCTGCAAGGGTGTTGCCCAGGGGACTCCCAGATGAATTGATGTTTTTATCATCCTTGTGGGAAGCTTCTCTCATGTCCTCGCATGAGAAGCTAGAGCTGATAGAGGGAGCTCATCTGCCTCTCCCTGGATTTGAACCTGAGACCTTCAGTCCTGCAGGCACAGGGGTTTAACCCACTGCGCCACCGGGGGCTCCATCTGCCTTGATATTCTGGATTATATGTATGAAGGAGTGTGGTTAAAGCTTACTGCCACCTAATCTGTGAGGAAAGCTGGGCAACGATCAATATCGGCTTAGGAGCTATTTTATAAAGGGACTATTAATTACAGAAGGCTTTATTCATTTGATAGCGTAGCGTTTACTGTCCCTGGCTTGACTTTACTTCTTATGCAGGCTGTTTGCCTTGAGAGAAACTGTATCAGGCAAGGCTTGAGGAAAACAGTAACAAGTTTATTTTAACAGGAGTATAACATGTTTAACTGTTTCCTCACAAGAGGCACAAATCTTGATTGGTTACATTAGTAAGGTTTCATGAGTAATCTCAGGCACAGACTTCAAGAGGTTTCTATAAGCAGATGTAACTCTTCTGGACAACTGTCCTAATAAAACAAATAAGCTAAAAGGCTTATTAACAGAATTGGCTCCCAGCCAAACCTTGATTCTTAACTCAGTTTTATCAGTTTTATTCTTAACTGTAGTTTTATCACTACCAGGTCCTTTTCTGTAACCCCATTGGTCACCAATTAATTCCCTGAATCTCCACCCAGAGACTCAGTCTTCCCAGTAGCTCACCGGCTTACTGACTGACTTTCAAAACAGCTGCCCCGTGAAGAGGCAGTTGGCTCCGCCCCTGTTGCTATGGCAACCCAGCTAACGCCAAGCCACCATCTCCAACAAAATATATTCCTTCATACTTACCATTTATCAGCCACTGTCTAAACAACACATAAACATGAGAATAAAGTTACACATCGTCACAATATGGCTGTCTGAAAGGACCCAAAATTACAAGAATCCCGTTTTGTATTGAGTTTGGGAACCATAGCCTCATTGAAGATGACAAAGGCAGGAGTATCTGTGAACCAGGAAATGTGGGTCGGAAACCAACATTCTCTGTGTCCAATCCTCACCTTCTCTGCTTCTGGTAAGCAGTCCAGAAGAGCCGTTGTTGTTGAAGCCTCCTTCGCTTCCTGCCCCACAGCCCGATTGGACATGGCTTCCAGCACCACTTGGTAGAGTGGGTTGGTGATGAGAGGAGTGGGTAATTCACGCAAATAGTCTTTCAGGATCCCTGCAAAGATGGAAAGCAGAAAATGCCTCAGTTCTCTCTGAGATCACCAACTAGTCTCCCTGGCTCCCTGCTCAATCCTTAATGGAGAGGGCTCTTATCATACTAGTGCAGGGGTCCTCAAACTAAGGCCCGAGGGCCGGATACAGCCCTCCAAGGTCATTTACCCGGCCCTTGCTCAGGGTCAACCTAAGTCTGAAATGACTTGAAAGCACACAACAACAGCAGCAACAACAACAGCAATCTTATCTCATCAGCCAAAAGCAGGCCCACACTTCCCATTGAGATATTAATAAGTTTATATTTGTTAAAATTGTTCTTCATTTTAATTATTGTATTGTTTTTAAGGTTTTTTTGCACTACAAATACGAGGGGTATTTTTTAAGTAAGGTCCGTTTTGTTGTAGACACTAGTAGTTCGCACGCATACCGCAACGAGCGCGTGCGTCGTGTACCGGCATGCCTCGGGAACAACTGTGCTCAGTTTCCGCTCTGTAGCTAACCTGTACGGTTCTGTTCTGTGCTTTAAAAATGTTTAAGACTATCAATTCACCCTCCGCATGTGAGGTTCGCTCAGTGATATGGTTTTTGTCAGCAAGGAACCTGCCTGCTGCAGGAATTCATCGACAGATTGGTGAAGTGTATGGTGATACTGTTATGAGTGAAAGCAAAGTGCGTAAGTGGGTACGACAATTCAAAGATGGCCGTGACAACGTCCATGATGAGGACCGCTCCAGTCGCCCTTCTTTGATTACAGTGAACTCTTAGGTTATCGGAGCAGGCGGCAAGTTTTTATGAAGAGGGTATTTTAAAATTGGTTCAGAGATATGATAAGTGTTTGAACAAACTTGGCAACTATGTCGAAAAATAGAGTGAAGTATGTACTTTCTGAAAATAAATTTACTTTTTTGAAATAAATTTTCGTTGTGTACTTATGTTCAAACGGACCTTACTTAAAAAATACCCCTCGTAAAATATGTGTAGTGTGCATAGGAATTCATGTTTTTTTTCAAATTATAATCTTGCCCTCCAACAGTTTGAGGGACTGTGACTTGGCCCTCTGTTTAAAAAGTTTGAGGACCCCTGTACTAGTGGATGAGAAGAAGCAAGCATGGGAACTCTTTCCAGTGAAAACCTGATGCACAGTGGGTGGAATTGGGAAAAAGATGTTGACATATTAGTACATGGGTGTACATGGACATATTGGTACATGGGTGTTCAGGCAGGAGGACTGTGAGGAGACATCCCATGCCTTGTCCTTTTGTGGCAAGAGATCTGTTGTCTTTCTACATGACAGAGAAACTACTATGGAAAGGTGGACAATAATATGATTCTTGAGATGGCCCAGGATGGCTTTGGTGTCTCATTACAGCTGTCCAGCCATAACTCTGTCTGACTCAAGGGAATGGCAGCACACAACTCAGAATGTTCTTGTCTATTTCTGCTAACATAGTTCAAACCATGAATGTCTCACTTTCACTCCGTCCTCCAAAATATATGGAAAAGGGAAGAACTGGGGCTCAGTCTGGAAGGGAGGCAAGAACTGTTAGCTTCATCCAAGTCTGCTCCTTTGGATAGTCACAAAGGGCAGAGCTTCTCACTTAGGGAGAAACCTAACTGATTTCACAGTTAGAGACACGTTTGTTGTATATAATAATAATAAAACTTTATTTATACCCTGCTACCATCTCCCCAAGGGACTCAGTGCGGCTTACATGAGGCCGAGCCCACAATACAACAATACAAGCAATAACAGTTACAATAAAAAGCAATTAAAAAATAAATCACATACACAAATAGCATAAACATTAAACAAGGTACAGTGCACATTTAAAAACTATGGCTGGGCCAAATGTAATTGAAATTTAAAAAAATAATGCTAGGCATGGACAAGATACAGGAGATGGAGAGTACAAGCAGTCCTAAATCGATATAAAGTGCTTTTGGGGGACATAGTGCTAAGGGTTCATTATTCTGGGAAGGCACACTGGAACAACCACGTTTTCAAGCTCCTCCTGAATACTGCCAAATGATGGGGCCTGCCTGATGTCCTTAGGGAGTGAGTTCCAGAGTCGAGGGGCCACCACCGAGAAGGCCCTCTCTCTCGTCCCCACCAATCGTGCTTGCGATACAGATGGGAGCGTGAGTAGGGCCTCTCCAGATGATCGAAGAGATTGTGTGGGTTTGTATACAGAAATGCGGTCACGCAGGTAGGCAGGTCCCAAACCGTCCAGGGCTTTGTAGGTAAGAACCTGCACCTTGAATTGGGAAAATGAATGGCAGGCAGTGGAGCTCCTTAAACAGGAGGGTTGACGTCTCCCTGTAAGGAGCACCAGTTAACAACCTGGCCACCGCCCGTTGGACCAACTGAAATTTTCGAGCCATTTTCAAGGGCAGCCCAACGTAGAGAGCATTACAGTAGTCCAATTGCAAATCCTGTATTTGCAATACAGTAGTATTGCAAATCCTGCATTTACTCTGCCTCTTAATGTTGCTGCCCAAACCTCTGTGCTTATGCTGCTAAGACTGCATTGTGTGTTTCATATCAATGTCCTGAACTGCAAACAATATTCCCACGGAAGGAAGAAGCTTGACCGCCACTGTCTCCAAATCCTGTGGGCCACGGACAGCTGCAAGGACAACATGTCAGAAGAGTTGCTTGTTGTTGTTTTTTTACTCTTCCTTTCTTGTTCTTCCATAAATACTATAAGGATATTTTGGAACGATGGAGTAGTAGAGAGAAGATTTTAAATAATTTGAATTTATCAGACAGGGCAAGATATAGAAATAATTGCCTCACTGCTTCACCAATTATAAGGAACCTGGGGGAAACTATACTAGCCGATTGCCATCAAACATAAGGAACTTAGCAGGGAAAGGAATAGGGAATTTTAAAATAGTAATTTCTACAAGCTGCCAACCAAATTATATATAGGTGCAGGGGAATTTTTAAAACAGGAAAGAGGCAACTGGGAGATCTTGAAACTGTTTCTTCAATTGTTTTCGCTGCCACCTTTTTGTTTGGTATTCAGACTGAGTTGTATGTGGAGAGTATACTTACTAACACCCTTTTGTGTTACAATAATGTTTGTTCCAGTGTGCCTTCCCGGAATAATGATCCCATAGCACTTTGTCCTCCAAAGCACTTTACATTTTTTTAGATCTGCTCGTATGTCCTTCCACAGACGCCACTATCACCTTTCATCATTGTCCCAGCATTATTTCCATTTTAACTTTACATTTGGCCTTCCCGCTGTTTTTAATTGTGTGTTGTCTTATTGATAATGTTGTATATTTTATTGTCTATGTTTTATTTTAATTGCTTGTACTGTTGTTGTTTTGCTTGTATAGTTATTCGGGCTCGGCCTCACGTAAGCCGCACCAAGTCCCTTGGGGAGATGGTAGCAGGGTACAAATAAGTGTTGTTGTTATTATTATTATTATTATTATTATTATTATTATTATGTTTGTTTTCTTTAGAGGGTTTAAATCACAATGTTGTTCACACTAAGGTTATTATAAAGTATTAACAATAATAAAACGTTTGTTTAACAGGCTTAGACTTCTAGTACAAATGCGTAGTGGTTTCAGTAAGTTACTGGTACATAAGCTTCTGGTTATGTTTGATGTACAATTCTTAGATGGGTTCTGGGTTCAAATCTTGATGTTAACTAAACAGGAGATTATCTCAGGAAATTAATCGCTGATAATAATTCCAAACAAAATTCCCCCTTTCTGGAACCTAACCAATAGCCTTTGGCCTAGCCTTCCTCAGGGACAAAGAACAGACCACAAACAAGGTTCCACTATCTGTATTCCTAGCTAATTTCTCTAGTTCTTGAATACCACAAAAGATCAACCAACTGTTATCACCAACTGACAAACTCCCCCAACGGACAAATTGCAACTGCCAACTCAAGCCTCAGTTCAAAAGATACACATTTTTTCTTTTTGAACGCTAGGCTCTGCCCCCTATTTTCTAACCAATCCTGGCCGTCTAATCTCTACTTCTTGGATTAGGACAGCCCCCTCTAGAAAACCCATAACTTGTTTCCCTATCCTAAGATGGCCGCCAGGGCTTCGCCAGGCCCACATTCTAACTGCTTAAGGTAAGGAGTTCTTTACATTTCCACTTTCTGAACATTTTCCTCTACACTGACTCCCAGCCATACAGCAGCTTCTCTCCCACACTCCTGGATCAATATGCAGGAGCTTTAGCTATGAATTAGTTTGGCTGCCTCTAGAACAGTGTTTCCCAAACTCTTTGGTCTGCCAGGTGTTTTGATCATTGGCCAAGGCAGCTGAAGCTTTTGGGTGTTGAAGCCCAAAAGAGCTGGAGAACTAGAGTTTGGGGATCCCTGCTCGAGGCTCTCCTACCAACAAAGTACTCCTGTTGGGCTGACAGGGTCCCTTCCTTCATTTCTTCCATGGCTGAAGTGCAACACAGCACATTTTCAGAACTTGGAAATCATACTTTTTTGGAGCCCTGTTCCCAGAATCCTCCTGGCAGAATTGCCAAATTCTGGGAACTGGTCCACAAAGTAACTCTAGTTTCACCAATTATTATTATTATTATCATTATTATTGTCCTTATTTATACCCCGCCACCATCTCCCCAAAGGGGACTCTGGATGGCTTACATGAGGCCAAGCCCAGCAGTACATTTACAACAAAATAAAACCAGAACAACAAAACAAACATCACTATTAAATAAATAAATAAACATAAGAATACAATAAAACAATACAAGATAATACAATGCAAAATCAATCCCAAAGGGAGAAGCTGATAGGAGACGGAGTAGTGGAGACAGGCCAGAAGCAGGAAAGTAAACCTCTCGAATTAGCTAGGAGGATCACAGCATCAAAGACACAGCTCCACTTCTAATGCTTCGAGCAGAGTGATAATGGTGATGTTGGGCACTTACCAAAAATGTCATTACGAACACTGACCTGTGATGACATTGATGTCTGGATAGAGATCTTCAGAGAGTACCACAGCAGAGCTGTCCTTCTCAAAGGCATCGCGTAGCTCTTTCTTCACTGCAGCTGAACCACACAAGCGATACAGACCCACAACCTACAAATAGAGCAGGGCCCTTCACTTGAGCAAACAGGCAATAGGACAAGGGGGGATAAGACAAGGCAATAGGACAAGGGGGGAAAGGCTGTCCTGTCGCTGTCTACGAACCCACATGCTCACTCCGGTCATCTGGGGAGGCCCTGCTCGTGATCTCGCCTGCGTCACAAGCGCGCTTGGTGGGGACGCGAGACAGGGCCTTCTCCGTGGTGGCCCCCCGCCTCTGGAACACCCTCCCGAAAGATCTCAGACAAGCCCCTACACTGGCAGTCTTCAGGAAGAATTTGAAAACCTGGCTGTTCCAACGTGCCTTTTCAGATTAGGAATCTCCCAGTACCAAATCCTAGAAGCACTTTAGTACCAAAATCACCGCACACTGCACACTGCACTTATATCATAATCCCATACTCCTCCGACACATCAGCACTTTTTAACCTTGTACCCCACTCTGGCCGACCCAGTTTTTTAATATTGTCTTATCGTATTGCTATTGTTATTGTTTTTTCTGCTTAACTGTTTTTATTTGCTAGATATTGTATTGTTGTTTTGTGTTGGGCTTCGGCCTATTGTAAGCCGCATCGAATCCTGCGGGAGATGCTAGCGGGGTACAAATAAAGTTATAATAATAATAATAATAATAATAATAATAATAATTGCCTAAATGACCTGTGGTAGGCTTTCCAACCTGGCTCCTTCCAGGGGATTTTGGCTAGAAGACCCATCAGCTCCAGCCAGCTTGGATCGGGATTGTGATGGGACTTACAAGCCAAAACATCAAAAGGGATGCAAATAGTTGGTCCATAAGTCAAAATTCCTATTGGACCACAAACCTGACTAAGAGCTGAGATCCGCAGACAATGTGTGTCCCCAGGCAGGCTGCAAACCTGTGTCTTGGGGGGGGGGGGGGGGGGGTGGGGATTGGGTGCTTGGGGAAAGTAACACTGACCTTCAAGCCTCTTTTCTCTATCTGGGCAACACACTTCTGGATCAGCAGGGGTACTTTGATGGCAGCCCCTTCTCTCTCCACCAGCTGACTCAATTTCACTCCAAAGACTTGTGGCTCCTGGTCGTTGTTAGCTGGGTCCCACTGGTCCACCAAGGTAAGCTTGATGTACAGGAGTCCTTGTGGCTCAAGTTGCATGGCGAGCTGCTGGCTCCTGCAACCTGGGAAGAGAAAGAGACAGAGATGGCTGTGAGGACTGCATCTTCAGCCTTTCTCCTTGTCACTCTTGTACGCTTCAGCAACATAGGCAGAAAACAGGTTCGGTTTTCCTGTTCACACCCTTCCACTCCATCTCTCAGAACCCCTCATTTCTGGTCTGCTCCTGGGGCTTCGGTGACCCATGATATTCATTCCCTCACCCTGTGGCTAGCAATAGGAATCGATTAAACCAGTTTGTTTCTCTCTAAGTAGCTGTATGTCAGTATCCTATCTGTACAAAAGAAAGATGAAGAAAAGAAGAAGAGGAGGAGGAGGAGGAGGAGGAGGAGGGAAGGGGGAGGAGGAGGGAGGAGGAAGAGAGGAGGAGAAGAGGAGGAGGAGGAAGAGGAGGAGGAGGAGGAGGAGGGAAGAGGAGGAGAGAGGAGAGAAGGAGGAGGAGGAGGAAGAAGGAAGAGGAGGAGGAGGAGGAAGGAGGAGGAGGAGAAAGGAGGAGAGAGGAGGAGGAGAAGTAGGAGGAGGAGAGGAGGAGAGGAGGAGAAGAGGAGGGGAGGAGGAGGAGGAGGAGGAGAGAGGGGAGAGGGAGGAAGAGAGGAGGAGGAGGAGGAGGAGAAGAGGAGGGGGGAGGAGGAGGAGGGGAGAGGAGGAGGAGGAGAGGAGGAGGAGGAGAGGAGGAGGAGGAGGAGAGGAGGAGAAGAGGAGGGAGGGAGGAGGAGGAGGAGGAGGAGGAGGAGGAGGAAAGGAAGAGGAGAGGAGGAGAGGAAGGAGGAGGAGGAGGAGGAGAAGAGGAGGGAAGGAGGGGAGGAGGAGGAGGAGGAGGAGGAGAGGGAGGAGGAGAGGAGAGGGGAGGAGGAGGAGGAGAAGAGGAGGAGGAGAAGGAGGAGGAGGGGAGGAGGAGGAAGGAGGAGGAGGAAGAGGAGAGGAGGAGAAGGAGGGAGGGAAGGAGGAGGAGGTGGAGGAGGGGAAGGTGGTGGTGGAGGAGGTGGTGGTGGTGGAGGAGGTGGTGGTGGTGGTGGAGGAGGAGGAGGAGAGAAGGAGGAGGGGGAGGAGAAGGAGGAGTAGGAGGAGAAGAGGAGGAGGAGAGGAGTAGGAGGAGAGGAGGAGAAGAGGAGGAGGAGTAGTAGAGGAAGAGGAGGAGGAGGAGAAGAGGAGTAGAGGAGGAGGAGGAGGGGAGGAGAAGGAGGTGGTAGTGGTGGAGGAGGAGGAGAGGAGGAGGAGGAGGAAGAAGAAGAACAACAACAACAATTATTACGACAACAACTTTATTTTTCTAGCCCGCCTCCATCTCTCCGAGGGGACTCGGGGCGACTTAAATGGGGCCAAGCCCAAGGCAAAATAGAATTAAAAACAGAAATAACATATTAAAAAAGCATAAAAACAGCATAAACAACAATAAACAAACATCATAAGCAACAACAAACTGATTTGGGGGCCAATATGCAAAACGATTTAAAGGATAGGCTGGTCAATAAGGTGGATAGAATGTATAGTAACATAGGAAAAGAGCAATTAAACAAGATCATGTCAGCTTAGCTTTAAAATGTAGTAATCAAATATAGGTTTTTGAATTCAGGTCATGGTTAGGGACCATCTGTCAAAGGAGTCATCAGTCGAATGCACAATGAAACATCCACATCTTTAGTTCCTTACGGAATGTGGATTAGGAGGGTGCCAGCCTAATCTCCCTGGGGAGGGAGTTCTAGAGACGAGGGGCCACCACTGAGAATGCCCTTTCTCTCGTCCTTCTTTCTTCCTCCCAACTGCTGATAAGGGGCTCTTCTGTCCCACAGAAACTGCAGCATGGCACTGGGCGCCACCAGAGGAAGAAAGAAGGACATTGTGCTAGAAATCACTTGTGCCTTCACAGCATAAGATGCTCGAGAGGACTTTGAGTGAAGAACTTCAATGGCTCTGTCCCTTCAGAAACTGGGGAAATGTAGGATAACTATAATTCTAAAATACTAATTCCAGTGTTTCTCAACCCTCCTAATGCCGCGACCTCTTAATACAGTTCCTCATGTTGTGGTGACCCCCAACCATAAAATTATTTTCATTGCTACTTCATAACTATAATTTTGCTACTGTTATGAATTGTAATGTAAATATCTGATATGCAGGATGTATTTTCCCATGACCAACATGGGTGGGCATTGACCTTGAGTTTGGGAGTTGTAGTTCACCTATATCCACACAGCACTGTGGACTCAAACAATGATGGATCTGGACCAAACTTGGCATGAATACTCAATATGCCCAAATGTGAACACTGGTAGAGTTTGGGGGAAATACACCTTGACATCTGGGAATTCTAGTTGCTGGGATTTATAGTTCACCTACAATCAAAGAACAGTCTGTGTCCCACCAACGATAGAATTGGGCCAAACTTCATACACATGACCCCCAATACCAACAGACAATACGGTGGGTTGTTGTAGGTTATTTCGGGCTATATGGCCATGGTCTAGAGGCATCCTCTCCTGACGTTTCGCCTGCATCCATGGCAAGCAGCAGAATATGGTGTTTTCTGATGGTCTTTGGCGACCCCTCTGACACCCCCTCATGATTTCCCCAGGGGTCCCGACCTCCAGGTTGAGAAACACTGTACTAGGAAGTTATATGGCCCTGCAATACAGCAAGGTACAAAAGGCACCCTGCTTATCCTATCCCTACCCCACCAAATGTCTCATTTGAAAATGGCTTAACTGTCTATGCCTTAACATCAGCTTGCTGTTCCTCCCTTACCTTGAAAAATGTGGGGCAGGATGATCGTTCCATAGCAGCAGACACGATTCTTGCCCACTGAAGGATCACACGAGAAGATCACAACTTTAAGGAGCTGGGCATCTTCAAGCTCCAGCTGGAAGGAATGGTTGAGGCTGAGGAAAGCTTCCTGGCAAGGCAGAAGGGCAGTGCGGGCTTTGTTGACGGAGTCTACCTGGAGGACACAGAAGGCTTCCTTGGCTTCGGCTCTGGGGTGCCTGAAGTCCTGCACCCCTAGCAAGTGGATGCTGACAAGGCCAGAGAGATGCTGCAAGCAACCCGGCTGCTCAGCAAAGCTATAATGGCGGAAAGATCCACCATCGAATCCCAGGCAGGTCTCGGCTTTGGCCTGAAGCTCGGGAGAGTCGCCGTCACTCAAGTAGCCCCCTTTGCTGGCAGCCTTGCCCCATGCCTGAGGCTGCCGAGATGCCACGCTGCTGTCAAGGTGGTAGCGGCTGATGACGCTGCCCGATTCCTTTGGTGACGAGCTGCCCTCCGCTTCAGGACCTCGGTGACGGGAGCTACGCAGGCTCAGTTTCCGTCTCAGCTCTGGAAGCTTCTTCATCTTCATGGAGAGACTTCTCACTGGGCCGGGGGACTTTGCCTTGCCAAGAGTGTGGGCCTTCTTGTGGGTGGTGGGGCTCAGGGCCCGTTCCCCAGGATCTGTGCTTGTGGCAAGCATTCTTCCTGGGAAGAGAAACTGTATAAGACAAGTCAACCCAACTGCAACAGACCCTATGGGTGAACACCTATTGCTGAAATACCCCGAGTAACTATGGGACAAGGTTGGTAGATAGACCAGAAAAGAAGAAGTGAGCTCCAGAGTGAATCCATTAACAGGGGCAGCTCAACCATTACGCAAAGTAAGCATTTGCAGTATAGTTGATTATTTTTACCTTGTTTTGTGTGTGTGTGTATATATATATATATATATATATATATATATATATATATATATTTCTCGCACTTCTACCCCACCCTTCTCAACCCCCGAGGGGGGACTCAGGGCGGCTTACAAAAGGCACAATTCGATGCCAGCACAACAAGGTAAAAATAAAACATATATAAACAGCAATTAAAACAATTAAAACAATCCATTATACATCACACTCCCTAAAAACTAATCTAATGCTCAACGTTTGCCAGCTCAAAATTCAATTCCACATTGTCGAATCCGTCAGTTCTAGTCGTCGCTTGTCCTTTGTCTATCTGCAGATTCCCCAAAAGCCTGGTCCCAAATCCATGTTTTTAATTTCCTTCTAAAAGAGAGGAGGGATGTCAATGACCTAATTTCCCCAGGGAGTGAATTCCACAGGTGAGGGGCTACCACCGAGAAGGCCCTGCTCCTCGTCCCCACCAACCTCACTTGTGATAGAGGCGGGGTCGAGAGCAGGGCCTCCCCAGAAGATCTTAAACTCCGAGGTGGGACGTAGAAGGAGATGTGTTCGGACAGATACGCTGGGACAGATACGGACAGATACATATATTATATGTATGTAACATATTATATAGTAATCTATATGACAATATATAAAATATTGTATTTATATCTTACATAGAAAGAACGAAAGGAAGAAGGAAGGAGGTAGAAGAAGGAAGGAAAATGGAAGGGAGGGAGGGAAGGAGGGAGGGAAAGAAGGGAAGGAAGGAGGGAAAGGAAGGTGGGGGATGAAGAAAAGAGGGAGGGGAAAAATGAAGGGGAAGGAAATGAAGAAAGGGAAAGGAGGAAAGGGAGGGAGGAAAATAAGGAAAGGAAGGAGGGAGGGACAGGAAGGAAGGAGAGGGGGAGGAAAGGAAGGGGAAGGAAGGAAGAAAAGGAAATAAAGGGAGGGAGTCCTTTCGGGTGGAGTGTGGCAGTCTGGATGTTAATAGGAGAGTGAGTGAGTGAGTGAGTGAGTGTGTGTGTGTTAAATGTGTGCTTGTGTTGCTGGAGACAGCTAAGCAGGTCAAACAGAAAGGAAAGAGTTAAAAAAGAAAGAAGGATCTCCAGAAAGAAAGATCCCCACCTGCTGGCCTTCCTCACCTCCTCCTCCTCCTTCCTTTCTTCCACTCATCAGCCCCTTCCCAACAGGAAGGAGGAAGACGAGGAGACTGCCCTCCTGAGATAGCAGGGAAAGAGAAGGGGCTCAATGCGGCAAGCCTCCTCCTCCTCTCTCATGGTGCCCACTCTCTCATGTGTGTGTGTGTGTGTGTGTGTGTGTGGCCATGCACGCACGCCTGGCTTTAATGGCCAGCTGTTTCCCGTGAGGATGAGGAGGAGGCGTGGCCATGGGTCTCTTTGGAGACATGCAGTTTCTCCTTTGTGGACATGCAGTTCAGAAATATTTTCTGCTTTTTTGTGGTATTTTTGAGTGGAGAACATACATTGGGTTGTTAGTTGTCTTGAGTCCAAATTTGGTACCAACTGCCCGAGGGGGTTTTGAGTTCTGTGAATACCACAAACGAACATTACATTGTATTGTCGAAGGCTTTCATGGCTGGAATCACTCAGTTCTTGTGGGTTTTTTCGGGCTATATGGCCATGTTCTAGAGGCATTTCTCCTGACGTTTCGCCTGCATCTATGGCAAGCATCCTCAGACCTCACCTCTGAGGATGCTTGCCATAAATGCAGGCGAAACGTCAGGAGAAATGCCTCTAGAACATGGCCATATAGCCCGAAAAAAACCCACAAGAACTGAACATTACATTTTTATTTATATAGATTTGTGATTTAATTTTTACTTTCATTCATAGCATATATGAACTCTCTCACACACTCCCTAAGCATAATCACCTGAAAAACAACAATTTCGTAAGAGTGAGAGTACAGCTAATCTGGATTCTGATTTAAGTACTGCTTTACAACACAACCTTGCTGACTAAGACAGTTTAGAAACTGCCAAGCTAACCTACAGTTGAATTGGCATCTGTTAATTGTATGAATCCTTTTCCCTCTAAGAAATAAACATTTCTCTAGGAAGAAGGTAGATACTGATTTTTCCCCTCTCTAGAAAGTCACAACACTAGGTATAGACCAAATTGTATTTTTTCCAACTCCAAAAGGGCAAACTGGCAGGCAGACGTTATCCTGTTGCCAGTGGAGGTAAGAAAGGAGCTTTCTGCACAGTAAGCCTTAAGGGCCATGTATATTTAGAGAAATGGCACTCGAGTACATTTAAGCCTCCCTTTTCCTTCCTGCCTGCGGAGATCTAAAGCGCTGAAATCTTGCTTGGCCACCTTCAAGTGTGTTCCACAAAGATTGCTCCCCTCCGCTTTGAGTAATTGCAGTAAATTGTGAGAATTTTCACCCTCTTCACCCACAGCAATACTTTGCTACTTCTAGTTTCAGCTCTCCTTTTTTCCAGACTCAGACTGCATCTACATCAACCTTTCTAAAGCCGTGACCCCTAAATACAGTTCCCCATGTTATGGTGACCCCCAACCATAAAATTATTTTCATTATTTTCATTGCTACTTTAGAACTGTAATTTCACAACTGTTATGAATCATAACGTAAATATCTGATATGGAGGATGTATTTTAATTGTTACAAATCGAACCTAATTAAAGCATAGTGATTAATCACAAAAACAATACGTTTGGGGGAGTATGGACAATGGATGATGGGATTTGCAGTACCTTCAACCGATTCAGCTCTGATTTCCACAGACCACTGAGACCCCCACAAATTACAGAACTGGACCAAATTTGGCACAGAGAACCCACATGACCAACAGAAAATACTGGAGGTCCCCAAACGGAGAGAAGGAGGAAGAAGAGACCAGAGGAGAAGGGCGAGTGCAAGCCTCGCTGCTCCTGCTGCCCCACGCTCCTCTCGTCCTTATCGGGGCTTCCAGGAGTGGCTGTTGGGGTTCAGCCTGTGTGTGAACCTGAATCCGAACCTGATTCTCTGATTGTATTCTCTGATGCCAATGTAGATGTCGATGTGAATTCTGAGGCCAATTTAGATGATGATGGTTTGAGTAGTGAAAATGCTACAGCCTTGGAAAGTGAAAGTCAAGATTCCCATGAGAACATGCATTCCAAGCCAAGCGGAGAAGTTTCACTCCCTTTTCCTCCCAGCCTTAGTTCTCCAGAGAATCTGACACCTGGTCTGCCTAATGAGGATAGGCGGGGGCAGATTTGGCAGAGCCAGGGAGAAGCACAAAGTTTACGTAGGTCAGCCAGATTGAGAGAAATGCAAACAAAAACTTCAGGCGTGTCTCGCAATAGATTTCTTGGCCTTAATTATGCCTGGCCTGAATGCAGCTTCAGACCAAGCATCGTTCCAGATTAATGTGCAAGCTTTTGCAGGTCTCCTGATTCAAGTGGCCTTGTTCCTCTGAGGTTTTCTAGTTGTTCCAAGTACGGTTAGTGGATTGCTAACAGGTTCCAGGATTCAGCAGTTTTGCTGTGGGTTTTATTATCTTGTTTATGGACATTTCTTGTTGCTGATTTTTATTGTGACTTTTCACCTTTGCATTTTTCCTCTATTTTGTATTCATCTTTCATCAATAAAAAAGGATTGTTTTCCTGAAGTCAAGTGTGGTGGATAGTTGTCTGAGGGTCCAGCTCTGCTCTGGGTTGCAACAGTGGCAGAGGTCTCAAAGGGGGCGAGAAGAGGGTAGCACAGGGCAGCAGAAGCAACTAGGCTTGTCCTCCTTCTCTTCCAGGGTCTTCCCCCTCCTCCTCTCCGTTTGGAGGTCCCCAAATGGAGAGGAGGAAGAAGAGACCAGAGGAGAAGGGCGAGTGCAAGCCTCGCTGCTCCTGCTGCCCCACGCTCCTCTCGCCATTTTTCAAGGCTTCCACCAGCGGAGGCCTTGAAGGGGGCGAAAAGAGGGTGGTCCCGGGGCCTGGCCGCTATTTCGGGAGTCAGAGGGGGCGGGGCCAAAGGAGGCAACTTCACGACCCCTCTGAAATGGCCAGGCAACCCCTCGGATGGAGTTTGGGGGAAATAGCCTTGATATTTGGGAGTTGTAGTTATTGGGATTTATAGTTCACCTACAATCAAAGAGCATTCTGAACCCCACGAACGACAGAATCGGGGCAAACTTCCCACACAGAACCCCCATGACCAACAGAAAATACTTAAGGCCATCCAATCCAACTCCCTTCATCAGGGCAAGAAAACGTAATCAAAGCCCTCCTGACAAAGAGCCATCCAGCCATAGATAGATAGATAGATAGATAGATAGATAGATAGATAGATAGATAGATAGATAGATATGATTCACACACAGAGAGATATAGTATCATAGATTTGAAAGGGACCCCTAAAGAAGGACAATGATATGTTGCATGTTCCAGAGTGGGCAAACCAGACACTCTCCACATCAACACTGACAAAGAAACAGCAAGAAATACTGTTTACCCACAAGCATAAAGAAATTACAATATTAGAAACCAACACTTTCTCATTACTTTATTTTCCAGATCACCAGACTGGGCCACAGCAACGCATGGCAGGGGACAGCTAGTTAATTATAATCTTTCTTTGTATGGTGCCATAATAAGTAATATTTTTTTTTGTCGTGTCAGGAGCGACCGCTCCTGTTGTGAGAGAATTGGCCGTCTGCAAGGACGTTGCCCAGGGGACGCCCGGATGATTTCTGATGTTTTATCATCCTTGTGGGAGGCTTCTCTCATGTCCCCGCATGAGGAGCTGGAGCCAATAGAGGGAGCTCATCCATCTCTCCCGGGATTCGAACCTGCGACCTGTCGGTCTTCAGTCCTGCCAGCACAGGGGTTTAACCCACTACACCACCGGGGGCTCCATTATAATTATAATATTGTATTATTATTACTACTATTATATTGTATTACATTATAATATTATAAATATTACATTTATATACGATATACTATATTATTAGTAAAGACAAGATGGAAATGGCTAGGTTCTTGTGGGTTTTTTTCGGGCTATAGGGCCATGTTCTAGAGGCATGTCTCCTGACGTTTCGCCTGCATCTATGGCAAGCATCCTCAGAGGTAGATGGAAATGTCGTCTGCTCCCCTCTGTCTTCACTCTATCTAAGATATCTTCACAAATCTAAGGTAATGGCGCTTCATGCAGTCATGCCGGCCACATGACCTTGGAGGTGTCTACGGACAACGGCGGTTCTTTGGCTTAGAAATGGAGATGAGCACCACACCCCAGAGTCGGACATAACTGGACTTCATGTCAGAGGAAAACCTTAATGTGCACATTAATTTTGGTGAGGTAATTGAGCCCCCAAAAATGAGCATTAGATTTGACTCAATAGGGTAAACATGGCCATTAAAAAAGCATTCATTCTCACCACCACAGGTCTGGGTTTGGGAGCCAATCATCTCTTCATCTTGCTTTGTAGATCGTGTTTGGCTTGGTGAGGTCTGTACACCGTCTCTCCTTGCTTGTTGTGAGCCTCCTGGAGAGACACCTTCCCGTGTTGTTTTAATCTCCGCCGGCTTCCCTTTCCTGCTCCTGCTATCAACCTCAGTGCCCCGCGTCTTCTCAAGGAGTTGTAAGTCATCATCTTCTGGAATGGGATTGTACCAGATCTCCCCTTTGCTGCTGCAGAGCACATGAAGCTCCCTCTGCTCAGTGTTGGAGCCAGTGGCTGCTGGTTCTTCCGCCCCTTGGGTCTTCCCGGACGAGAGCACCCAGTGGCGGCTGCTTCTCTCCAGGCTCTGCAGATAGGCTCCCTGGCCGCTGCACTTGGCACTAATAAGGCTAGAGCTGCAGGTCTCCGAGTAGCCAACCAGCAATTCAGCATCTTTCTTGGACCCGCTTGCCGACAATCCAGCACAGTGTAGGTTATCTGGGGATGGCTCTCCATCCGGGTCAACAGGTCCCTGTGAGATGCTTGAGGAGCTCTGGCCCTGTTTCCGGTTGTGGGAATCCTCCTGGCTACCCCAGGTGAACTTGGCCCAGTGTTGTTTCCTTGACACTGTGATGGTGGCACCTTTCTTACTGCATTCGTCTTCCAATGGGAGAGGCCCCAAAACTTGAGGATCTGTGGAAGACCCGGAAGCACCTGGTGGCTCTGAAGGAGAATCTGTGGAGAACAAGAACAGAGAGAAAGTTACTTTTTTGGACCATAAAACCCAAACTACTATATTTGGGGGATTCTGAGAAATGTTGTCCAAAAAGATATGTATTCATTTTATTTTCTGGCATATACTCATATGAAGCCCCCAATGGCACAGTGGGTTAAACCGCTGAGCGGCTAAACTTGTTGACTGAAAGGTTGCAGGTTCAGATCCGGGGAGCAGCGTGAGCTTCCATTGTCAGCCCCAGCTTCTGTCAACCTAGCAGTTCGAAAACATGCAAATGTGAGTAGATCAATAGGTACCGCTCCGGCGGGAAGGTAATGGCACTCCATGCAGTTATGATGGCCACATGACCTTGGAGGTGTCTATGGACAACGCTGGCTCCTCGGCTTAGAAATGAAAATGAGTACCACCCCCAGAGTTAGACATGACTGGACTTAATGTCAAAGGGAAACCTTTACCTCTTACTCATATATGTCTAGAAATGTTAGACAAAAAAAAAAACACAACAAATTTATCCACAGCACTTTAACTTTTATCATTTTACCCTGGTAGAATTTTATGAGGCAAGAGTTTAATCCATCCGCCTCTACTCTCTCAGCAATGATGCTTCTTCTGGACTTTTTGAATGACTGGGTAGGAAAATGGCAGCAGCATTGGTGAGGGGTGCATTGGTAAGCTTTTATCCTAGAGCTGTAACTATATTGAACTCCATGGTTTTGCACTCATGTGGCACTGGGGCTGTGCGGTGATGTTCAGAGTGTGGAGGGATGGGAGTGTTGTTTTTGTGATGTGTGCTAGAGAAAGCATTTAATGTTGTTGTACAATGTACAATGACAATAAAGCTATTATATTCTGTTCCGTTCTATGGCAGTGTAGATCTGAATCCTAAATAGGTATTATTGGATGCGATGGACACAAGGTTTTACTGCTTGAGGCAAAACTGTGGCTGTCCTGACCTGTTTGGGTTGTCTGTTAGGGAGTTGTAGAAAAAGGTTAGCAGACCCCAGTGATACTGGAAAAGAACAGAAATATCCTCAGACCCAAGGTTAAGTTGTTAGATAATATCTGGAATTTCTGAAGTGGTGCTTTTACAAAAATGTTTCACGTTAAACCGGTTTCTATAAGAAAGACCACGCTAAGAACAATACTTGGAAAAGTTATTATCAGAGAGGCTAAACATTTACTGACTCCACCAACCAGCATAACTACTGACCATGTTGGCTGGAGGATTCTAGGAACTGTTCAAACAAATAAGTTTTCCAAGATCTGGTTGAGAAGCATTTGGTCTAGGGCCATTCATCGGTGAAAGATAATCCAAAATGGGTCTTCTTATATCTTCAGTGGTGAGGGTAGAATTACATTCAGGAACAAACACTCAGGTATTCATGACCACCAACTAGAGTATCAGTTCCTAGAATCCTACCATCTCAAGCATGGTTGGTGGGGACGAGAGAGAGGCCCTTCTCAGTGGTGGCCCCCTGCCTCTGGAACACCCTTCCAAGGGAAATAAGACAGGCTCCATCCCCCCTCCTTTCGTAAGAGCTTGAAGACCTCAGATATTAATGGTCACCAACTAGAGTATCCATTCCTAGAATCCTACTGTCTCAAGCGTGGTTGGTGGGGACGAGAGAGAGGGTCTCTTCAGTGGTGGCCCCCCATCTCTGGAACACCCTTCCAAGGGAAATAAGATAGGCCCCATCCCTCCCCTCCTTTCGTAAGAGCCTTTGAAAATGACCAGTTCTAACTCAGCCCCACACATTGTCAAATACGGCCTTATTCTTCCTACCAGTTACCCAAATTCTTTCCTCTAATCGGCCCCGGAATGAACAGCCACAGACCCGTACCTAATATTATTGTTGCCTGCCATAGCATTGCACTTAATTTCCGGGCGTCCAAGAATTTTTGGGCTTGCACAAATCTTGGCCCGGCCTTTTAAATTTTTTTATTGCCTTGAACAAGCAGGATTACTTTTAATATATGTGTGTTATGGTGATAATTTTATGCTATATTTTGTTTTGCTAATCTTATGATTATGTTGTTTTTACTTTGTATGTTTTGTGATGTTACCTGGGAACCGCTCTGAGTCCCCTCTGGGAGATAGAGCAGTATACAAATAAAGTATTATTATTATTATTATTATTATTATTATTATTATTATTATTCATCCATGGAACGCATATGAAGATCATGACCCAAAGGTCAAAATGAGCATTTTTCAGACACTGATACAGCAGATGGTACCCCTGTAGCAACTCTGATTCATGAAGGAGGTACTCTTCCCCTATTGTTCTCTATGTGATGGGATTCTGCGAGGAGACCATCTTCCACTGTAACATGCATATTGACTGTGCCCACCATCAAGAGTAGTCCTCGAGATTTTGTTGGACAGAAATTCCACCATCCCTTGCTATTAGTGATGATGATTTGGGGTGCTGGGAGCTACCATATTTGAGGTTCATAGTTGTAGAATATCTGTCATAAAAGTGACAATGGTAGAAATTTTCATGAGACAACATGATAAAAGTTGTAAAAACAACCTGAGCAGGTGTGTGTGTCATATGTAGGCCTACACATATTTGTTGATATTGTGATGTGCCCTCAAGTCAACATGAATGACTAAGGACAGGGGTGTCAAACTCATTGAGGGCTACTTTCAGATAGTTGGAGTGTGGAGGGATAGGTGTATTGTTGTTGTTGTTGTTGTTTTGTGATGTGTGCTGGGGAAAGCATTTAATTTAGAATAATAGAATCAGAGTTGGAAGAGACCTCATGGGCCATCCAGCCCAAACCCCTGACAAGAAGTAGGAAAATTGCATTCAAAGCACACCCGACAGATGACCATCCAGCCTCTGCTTAAAAGCTTCCAAAGAAGGAGCCTCCACCACACTCTGGGGCAGAGAGTTCCACTGCTGAACAGCTCTCAGTCAGGAAGTTCTTCCTCATGTTCAGATGGAATCTCCTTTCTTGTAGTTTGAAGCCATTATCCTGCGTCCTAGTCTCCAGGGCAGCACAAAACAAGCTTGCTCCCTCTTCCCTATGACTTCTTCTCACATATTTATACATGGATATTATGTCTCCTCTCAGCCTTCTTCAGGCTAAGCATGCCCAGCTCCTTAAGCCGCTCCTCATAGGGATTGTTCTCCAGACCCTTGATCATTTTAGTCGCCCTCCCCTGGACACATTCCAACTTATCAATATATCTCTTCAATTGTGGTGCCCAGAATTGGACACAATATTCCAGATGTGGTCTGACCAAGGCAGAATAGAGGGGTAGCATGTCTTCCCTGGATCTAGACACTAGACTGCTATTGATACAGGCCAAAATCCCATTGGCTTTTTTTTGCCGCCGCATCACATTGTTGGCTCATGTTTAACTTGTTGTCCAATTTCGTTGGACAATGACAATAAAGCCATTCTATTCTACTCCATTCTATAAAAGGACCACTGAATCTGTAGATACAGAGGGCCACATCTACAATTTTTACATAGAAGCCAGTGCCTTTTAGTTTTAGCCACTTTGGGTCTAGACGTGTTATTGAACAAAAACTCCCATCACTTCTGATAATCTGCCATGAGGACTGGGGATAATGAGGATTGTGACCCAACAGTCCTTGAGGCTCTGAGTTTGGGGAAATGTTAAAGGACATTTTAAAGTCAGGCTGAGAGGAGATATGATAGCCATGTATAAATATGTGTGAGGAAGTCATAGGGAGAAGGGAGCAAGCTTGTTTTCTGCTGCCCTGGAGAATAGGACGTGGAACAATGGCTTCAAACTGCAAGAAAGGAGATTCCATCTGAACATGAGGAAGAACTTCCTGGGCTCAAAGCTAGCCTTAAAAACTGTGGCATAGACACTGAGAACTGGGAAGCCCTGGCCCTTGAGTGCTCCAGCTGGAGGTCAGCTGTGACCAGCAGTACTGTAGAATTTGAAGAGGGCGAAAGAGAGAAACGTGCCAAGAGGAAGGCGTGACAAGCCAACCCCGACCGGGACCGCTTTCCACCTGGAAACCAATGCTCTCACTGCGGGAGAAGATGCAGATCAAGAATAGGGCTTCACTGTCACCTACAGACCCACCGCCAGGAAGACTATCCTACGCGGACAACGAGGGATTGCCTAAGTCAGTGTTTCTCAACCTGRGGGTCGGGACCACTGGAGGGGTCGCGAAGGGGTGTCAGAGGGGTCACCAAAGACCATCAGAAAACACAGTATTTTCTGTTGGTCATAGGGGTCTCTGTGTGGGAAGTTTGGCCCAATTCTATCATTGTTGGGGTTCAGAACACTCCTTGATTGTAGGTGAACTATAAATCCTAGCAAGTACAACTCCCAAATCTCAAGGCCTATTTTCCCAAAACCCCAYGAGTGTTCACATTTGTGCCAAGTTTGGTCCAGAAYCATCATTATTGGAGTCTAGAGTGCTCTCTGGATGTAGGCGAACTTCAACTCCCAAACTCAAGCTCAATGCCCATCAAACCTTTCCAGTATTTTCTGTTGGTCATGGGAATTCTGTGTGCCAACTTTGGTTCAATTCCATTGTTGKTGGGGTTCAGAATGCTCTTTGTTTACAGGTTAACTATMAATCCCAGCAACTACAACTCCCAAATGGCAAAATCAATCCCCCYGCCAACCCCACCAGTATTCAGATTTGGGCATACCTGGCATTTGTGCCAAATTTGCTCCAGTGAATGAAAATACATCCTGCAGATCAGWATTTACATGGCRATTCATAATGTTAGGGTTATGGTTGGGAGTCACCACAACATGAGGAACTGTATTAAGGGGTCGCRGCATTAGGAAGGTTGAGAACCACTGGCCTAAGTAGTATGTATACATCTTAGCAATCAGGCCTTGAGAAGCAGAACCTTCGCAGTTTCCTTTCAGCAGGAACTATGCATTGAGTCAAACTTTTCTGAAGACGGTGGTCTCCAAGGGGAGGGAAAGCAATGGGTCAGGATGGGAAAGGGACGCCTGGAGGGGACCTGGGCCCTCCCGCCTCTGGTCTGA